GAAAGAAAGAAAGAAAGAAAGAAAGAAAGAAAGAAAGAAAGAAAGAAAGAAAGAAAGAAAGAAAGAAAGACACATCTAAAATCTGGGGAAAGCTTGCCTTTGTTGCTCTGGGAGCATCAATTAACTAGTTTTAATTAAATGCTTGAATTATTTGGCTTATTTATGTACTTTTCTAGGGATGTGACATACAATACGTTTAATCAATATGTGGCTTTGTAGCAGAGGTGGGTTCCTACCAGTTCGCACCTATTTGGTAGAACCGGTTCGTCAAATCTACCAAACCGGTTAGAAGAGGTTCCACCAGTGGACCCGGAAAGCAGGCCACACCTACGGAAGAGCTTCCAAAAATTTTTGAAACCCACCACTGCTTTGTAGCGTGAGAAATTTGTATTGATGCACTGAGGGGAAGCTGTTTTTTACACACACTGGAGAAATCTCTTTCTTAAATTAGCTACAAACAGTTCAATCTGAGGTGTGTTGGTTCAAACAGCTTGGAAAAAAAAGAAACACAATATGTGTTGTTTCCCCCCGACACACACACACAAAAAAATGATCCGCACTTTCACTCAGTCTAAAAGAAAGAGAGATCCCGTCTTACATTTTGGGTTGTCTAGATATATCTGCATTCTGCACCAGTAGAAAAAGTAATTTCACAAACCAGTGGAGATTGCAACAAAAAAGGGAAATATAAAAGCACTGTTATATTGCATTTACAACTAAGAGCGATGACTCTGTATCTTGATCAATAGCCCCCTAATTAGAATGCTCCCATTATTGTTTAGAGAGATTTGATATTAAAAACAAATTCCCTATAGAGGCAAATATTTAAAAAAAGAGAGAGAGAAATTCCAGTAGGTCTTATACACTGTATGTTCTTGATTCAACAGCAATTCCATGTAAATCAAAACCTGGCTTGAAAGAAGGCAGAGCAGAACTGTAAATCAATACAGCATACCAGACCCCTTTCTCTTCCCATCTCCCTCTGCTAATTCAGTGCAACTTATTTCTAAGCATACATGTAAATCTGCAGAATGGTGATTTGGATAGCTGGTACAATCATCTTGCAAAGAAGTGGTGTAAAAAAAAAATTGTTGGTGCAGTAATCTGAGGATGAATAAGGGGAAATGATATTTTTTTTTCTTTTAACTGATACGTTTTGCCATTTGTAATGCAATACATAGTTTATATGAGCCGAGGTGGTGCAGTGGGTAGAGTGCAGTACTGCAGNCCTATGAAGCGGTATATAAGTCTAACTGCTATTGCTATTGCTAACTGCTACTGCTTAAAATTCATTTAGTGATTGTTCAGAGTTCATCAACAGCACTGAAAAAAGGTGATTTATGACTATTTTTCACACTTACAACCGTTGCAGTATTCCCATGGCCATGTGATAAAACATTCAGATACATGGCAACTAGTTCATATTTATGATGGTTGCAGTGTCCTGGGGGTCATGTGACCAACCCTTGGAAGCCTTCTGACAAGCAAAGTCAACGGGAACCAGATTCACTTAACAACCATGTTCCTAACTTAACAACTGCTGTGATTCACTTAACGACTGTGGCAAGAAAAATCGTAAAAACAAGCAAAACTCTCTTAAACATAAGTGAGTCTCACTTAGCAACATAAACTTTGGACACAATTGTGGTCCTAAGTCAAGGACTACTTGTACAGGTGGGGCATTCCGTATGTCCCCTTGATTTCACTCTGTGTGCAGCCCTCCCCCACAACTGCCTATTTCTTTTAAGATATTAAAGTTCAGATCTGATAGAATGGATTAATTTCAGCTACACCTGCAAATTAAAACACCCCAGAGGCATGGCTTGAGCCCTATGCCTTCAGGGGAAAATAAATAAAGAACTGGTTTCCTAAGCAGCCAACAAAAGCCTTGTTTTTCTTACCTTTGTCCTCAGAAATGACCTGCACGAGTTCATAATCCTCAGCGGGATCCGATTCCAGGTTGTGTTTCAACATCGCTCGCTGGATGACAGCAGGAGTCTTGTCTTGGCTAGTTAACTGGAAAGAAAGGACAGATTTCAATGAGGCCTTCCTCTTCTCCACATCTGGATTCCAGGCAGGCTTTATGGTTTGATTGCCTACATCTTAGTGCCCCGAGCTGTCTTTTTTTAAAGAAAGAAATACCAGTTGAATGGAACTCGTCAAATAAGAATGCTACATAAACAGTACACTTTATTTTTGCAGCTGAGGTTATTTGTGAAAGGAGGTTTTTTTCCTCTCTCTCCCTTGAGTTAGTGTTTACAAATTTTGCTGTGAGTTACATGTGTGATGTAAGGGGAAACCGAAGTAGCGATGATAAAATTAAGCCCATTTTATGGCTCCCTGTTATGCACTTGTTATTATGGGATATTGAAGAGGGGAAGGAGGGAAGAATTTCAGGATCTCCCAGAAGCATTACTTTAGGCGTTTCCACTGTATGAAAGGGGATAAACCTGACGGAGGGAAGAAATTCCTTCTGGTCCTTGTTCTGGGAAAAATGTATGGCTCCAATTTTAATCCAGGGAAAAAAGAAAGAAAGAAAGAAAGAAAGAAAGAAAGAAAGAAAGAAAGAAAG